TTTTTTTTTTTTTTTCCAAACATCAAATATTATATATCACAAAATACTGAAATGTACAAATCGGTAGCCAAATGGCCACAAATACACCCCTACCAAGCAAGCTAGGACGAGGTACAATACGGGATCGCTCGAAAATCAAGCTACCCTAAGAGACCAGGCACGGTCATGACACCCAAATCCAAAAGCAAAACAAAATATACAAAACAGAAGAGACCACAGAAAATCTAAGCCACAAACAACAAGAAAAGACTACAGAACTCAGACACTAAGTACAATCTATAAGAGCACACTGAGGAAAAAGAGGCAAGATGGATCTAATGTCATCCACCAGGACAGCAAATTTCGTGTTACATAAGGTGTTGCTCGATATCATTTGGAATAAATCTTTGTCTGTGAACCTTAGCTTCACCTCATGCCATCCTAGTTGCAGACCCTTCTCCAACCATTCTCTAATGCAAAATAGAGTCACATCCACTGGTTGCTTATGAGCAGCATCCCTAGATTGAGACAATGAGGCCACCTCAGAGCTGTTCATTAAAGCCACTCCTTGTATGCACCAATCAACTTGCTGAGATGTAGAAGAACTGGGATTATTTAAGGGATCCCCTAATCCTAGCATCTCAGAAGGATTCTGGCCTTTGACATGTTCTTGCAGCTCTTGATGAAACAGCTTTCTACCATATTTAGTGTCATCAAATTCCATCCACTCCAGTTTTGCTCCCAAGACTAACTGTTGTTCAGTCAATAGAACATTTTGAAACCGGCAAGTGTTCCTTGTTTTCCACATCCACCAAAGGAGATAGGTGGATAGTGAAATTCTGTCTCTATTGTATTCAGAGGTGCTCATGCTGTTCAGAGTCAGCCACCAATCCAGAAAAGTAGTCTGCCTATCTTCCAAGCAGTTCCATTTGAGGCCTGCAAGCTTCCATACCCTTTGTGCTCTAGGACAGAAGAACATTATGTGCTCTAGGTTTTCTTCAGCTTCACCACAAATACTGCATATGACATCTACCTGTATTCCTTTCTCCTTCAATCTACACATGGTGGCCACCCAATTGTGGATGCATCTCCACAGGAAGTTCCTAACCTTTGGCTTGATTTTTAACTTCCAGAGTCTTCTCCACATCTCCTGCTTAGCTTTATCTCCATTGCTGCTTTCAGCCCTCTCATTCTGTCTCAGCTTTGATTGAAGAATTGCATTGTAGGCTGCCTTCACAGAGAATTGCCCCCTTGGATCTGTGTGCCAAATCAGTTTATCATTCATATTCTGGCTACTGATATGAGTCTTCAAAATGAGATCTGCATCCATTGGGGTGAAGGTCTGAAGGATTAGATCAGTATCCCATTTGTTTTCACCTGCAATCATAAGGTCACACACCCTTTGCAGTTTAATTCTGTCACCTTCAAAACAACAAGTTGGTTTGAAATGATTTGAGTTAGGTATCCAGGGGGAATCCCAGACCCTAATTGATTGCCCATTCCCAACTTGGTATCTCAAACCCAGAGCTAAAGAAGTCCTACACTCAAGCCACCCTTTCCACAGCCAAGAGTCAGAGTCTTTTTTCCTAACTTCTAAAAAACTTTGCTTCAGACAGTATCTACTTCTCATCACTTTGCTTATAAGAGTATTTGGCTTAGTCAACATTCTCCAAATCTGTTTCAAAATAAGGGCTTCATTCATGAGACTAAGATCTCTAAACCCCATTCCTCCTTCTAGCTTAGGGATAGCTAATCTGCTCCAAGAGGCCCAATGTATTCTATTTCCCCCATCTTCCTTCTTACCCCACCAGAATTGAGCCACATCTCTGCAAATGTCTAAACATACCCCCACCGGCAGTTTGAACACAGACATGACATATAGAGGAAGAGCACATAACACAGTTTTAATTAGAATTTCCTTTCCAGTTTCACTCAAAAAAGAGTTTTTCCAGCTGGTTACTTTATTAATCACACTCTCTCTCACAAAAGCAAAAGTTTCTTTTTTGTTCCTACCTATCCCCATTGGAAGCCCCAAATACTTGGATTTTTTTGCCACAACAATCCCTTGAAGGATTTGACAGATGCTGCTTTGATCTTGGGCTGAGGTATTGGCAGAGAAAAAAATGTTGGATTTATGGAAATTTACAGACTGACCTGAGGCTGCACAATAAGAATTCATAATGCTCAATAAAACAGATGCATGGTGGTCATCAGCTTGACAAAAAATTAAAGAGTCATCAGCAAAAAATAGGTGGGATATGGTAGGGGAAAATTTACTGATTCTTAACCCTTTGAAAGACTGAGAAAGGCATGCTTTATGAATAAGGTTCGAAAGTGCTTCAGTAATAATAATAAAAAGGTAAGGAGATAGTGGATCTCCTTGCCTTATTCCTCTGGAGGGAACTACTTTACCTAAGTTTTGGCCACTGAAGTTAAATGAAAAGGAGGAGGATGAAATACAAGACCAAATCCACCTCAAAAACTTATCGCAAAACCCCAGATGTTTACAGATTTTGATAACAAAACTCCAGTCTACTCTATCAAAGGCTTTGGCCATATCTATTTTAAGGGCCATGAACTTTTGTTTTCCTTTTTTTTTGCTATTAAGAAAATGAAGACATTCATTTGCAATGATGATATTATCAAGGATTTGCCTATCTGGCACAAAAGCGGCTTGAGACTGGGAAACACAAAACTTAATCACACCTTTAAGTCTAATAGCAAGAATCTTGGAGATTAATCTATAGGTAACTGTACAAAGGCTAATAGGCCGAAAATCAGAAACAAATTTGGGGTTTTTGCTCTTAGGTATTAAAGTAATGACTGTGTGATTAGTAGCTTTAGGAATACAGCCCGAGGATAGAAAATTGTTCACAGCCAAACACAAATCAGCTTTGATTATGGACCAGCAAGATTGAAAAAAAGAAGGGGAGAAGCCATCATTACCTGGGGCTTTACCGGAGTCCATCTCCCACAGTGCATCCTTGACTTCCTCTTCATCCACAGGTTTTGTTAAGTTCTGATTCATTTCATTTGTTATTGCCCTAGGGATGCCCAGCAAAATTTCCTCATCGTTCACAGGGTTTTCAGAGGTGAAAAGTTGTTGAAAGTAATCAGTCACTTCAGCTACAGCATCTGCCTGAGTTGCACATCTTTCCCCAGTTCTTTTGATCAAGTTTTCAAGACTGTTCCCACTTCTTCTCTGCCTAACACAGGCTTGGAAGAACCTGGTATTCTGGTCACCTTCAGCTAGCCACCTCACTCTTGATTTTGTCTTCCAGAAAAGCTCTTCGTCCTTGTATGCTTGTTGCACTTTTCTCTTGCAGGAGGCCCATTCATCCCAATCTTTGTATTCACTTTGTAAACATAACATGGCCAGTTTATCATTACATTCTTTTATAGTTTTGGAAGAATTAGAGGTTCTGCTTGTTAACCAACCCAGTAGCCCCATCTTGACATTCCTCAATTTCTTCTGAAAGCTGTATAACCCTGGGCCATTAACTTCCACATTCCAAGCAGTTGTAATACACTCCTTAAAACCTTCCTCTTTCACCCACCTGTTATCAAAGGAGAATTTCTTTCTGCTCCTCTGCTCTGTCCCTATATTGTCCATAAGTAAAAGGCAATGATCTGAAGAGATAAGGGGAATGTGCAGGACACTAGCCTTAGGGAATTTCATGAGCCACTCTGGGGACAAAAGAATTCTGTCTAGTTTGACCTCCACAAAATCATCTCCCCTTCTATTGTTGGACCAAGTGAATGGGTGACCTAGACTAGGGCATTGAGCAGAACCCAAAAGGTGGACAAAATTTCTGAAATTTTGAAAAGAAGCCTCACTCCTAACAATACCCCCATTTTTCTCAGAGTTATTGAGAATGTCATTGAAATCCCCTCCAATAAACCACAAGCTACCCCAGGCAAGATGATGTCTGATCAAAATCTCCCACTGACTCTGTCTAACATAGGGATCCACACTAGCATAAAGGAAAACCCCCCACATTTTATCAGACAACCCCTCACATTGAAAGCAGACCTCAAGACTGAATTGGTTGTTGATGATATCCAAAACCTTAATTTTATCAGACCAACACAACAAAAGACCACCCCTACTACCTATGGGATTAACACACTCCCACCTATCCCCTACATGCAGGTTTTTACAAACAGTTTGAACAAAAGATTTTTGTTTTTTGGTTTCAGACAAAAAGATAAAATCAGGAAGGTAGGCTCTGACCTTGTCCTTCAACTCGGAAATTGTAGAGGGTCCTCCCAAACCTCTACAATTCCACACCAGGACTCTCATTTGGAAACTTGGGACCAGTTATGGCTGGTTTCCTCCACCACATTTTTAGAAACAGTCTGTACAGATTTCACTTTTTTAGGAAGGGATTCAGATTGGATAAGACTATCAGTCAAAGATACAGGGAGTTTTCTTTTCAAAATCATGGGAGAGATCACTGGTTCTGAAGTTTGAGCTTCTTTAGAAACCGGTTTAGGGTTCTCAGACACCTTATTTCTAACCATTCTAGTGAAGGTTTTAGGTTTTTTAGCACAAGAAGGAGGAGACTTATCTTGCTGAATTGGGATGTTTATGAAATTACCACTATCTAAGACTGGAAGCTTAGCACTGTCCAGATCCATTTTGTCAGAAACAAGAACTGCAGTATCAGGTCTAGAGTCATCAACAACCTTCACTTGATGAGGGCTTTCTTTTCCAGAACCCTCAGAACAGGCTACAGGCTTTTTCCCTTTATCCTTACTCTCATTAACTATAGGGGTGATAGGCAAAGAAGAAGAGCTGGCTAAGATCTCTCTTTTTTCACTCGGGTTAGATCCTACAATTTCATCGGTTTTAGCTATACTAGAACCAGAGGTAATTTTGGCAGGTGGGGGGGTGGATGAATTTCTCTCTTTAGGATCAGATGTTCCCCCATATGAGCTCCTAAGCCATTCCCCAAATTGCCCTGTCCTAAGCACATTCCTATGAAGATCCTCTCTCTTCGATTCACATTGCCTTTCATTATGTCCAATTTTCCCGCAATAGAAACAGAATGTTAACAGGTTTTCATACTTGAATTCTATCCAATGTTCCTCTGATCCAAGTCGCAGATTAGTTCCCCGAGGGATCGGTTCCAGAAGATTTATCTCTGCCAGAATTTTCACTATTCTTCCATGGAGGCTGCCCAATCCCGGAATAACTACATCGTTAACTCTGCCAAACATCTTGCCCACTTTTAGGCCGGTCTCCTCAGAGATCCAATGCAGGGGAAGGTGATGTATCTGGACCCATAATTCTACTTTGAGTTCCTCAGCCGTAAATTCTATCTGATTTTTTCTCCATTCCTTGAGTAGAAGATATTGTCCATCGAAGGACCAAGCTTTTCCTTTGAGCACTCTATCTTTATCCGTCTCGGCTTGGAAGAGGAATTGAAATAGATTTGTTCCAATAACTCTGATTGAGAAAGGCTTTGATGTCCGCCAAACGAACCCCATGGTAGTTTTCAGACCAGCCAAGTTTATTTTCTTATCTCCTACAACTTTACCAATGAGACTTCTCTCACATTCTAGAAGACCAGGTTCAATATCTGTATTTTCCAGCGAAATGCCCGATTTCTCCTTGTTCGATAGTTCGAACCTGCTAAATTTATCAATCACTTCTTGCTCCATATGAAAGAACCAGAACTTAAGATTACTGGGCCGTTAAGGAAGTCAGAATGCCTGCAGAAGAAGACAAAACAAAACCCTAAATAAGCCACAGGAAAAAGAGAATAAAACCCTAGCAAAGGCTATAACAGACAATATCAACTGATATCTAAGCACAGAAAGAAAGGGAACAAAGAGGCAGAGAAACTGAAAAGAAAGAAAGCAATAAGAACGGGAACGGAGATCCTAAACAAAGGAACGGGGTCATCTCCTACCAAGGAACGGGGCCATCTCCAAAGTAGAGAGAGAAATATTTCCAAAAGGGAAAACGTAATTGAATCACCAGATTCGATCAAATTCAGTGTTTGTACTAAAAATTCTGACATATAATACCCTGTAAAAATCAAATTCATAGGAAGATTCAACTTTATTGGTATGGGCTAGAGTAGTTAACGAAACGAGCAGCTCGTGAGCTCGGCTCGACTTGTTAAAGTTCGAGTTCGGCTTGGCCTATTTGATTAACGAGTCGAACTTGAGTTCACTTAAACCTTATTTGGTTAACAAACCGAGTTCGGCTCAACTCGATAAGATTCAAAAAAAGACTATAACTTTCTATCATTCGACTCTTTTTTATATAATTTTTTATCATTCGTTTCGTTAAGATTGACAAACGAGCTGAGCTCGAATTTGATTTCTAATTCGTTTATAAACCTAGTGTGGGCATTGGGTCTTAGCCATCAAATTATTCGCGTACACCGTAATACGCCAAATCCTTCACTAGTCAAAACCGATACCGAGCCGATAATTAGACTGTTGCNTAACCCCAACATATGCCACAAGGAATGACAATAATACTATCCAAAAGGAAAACAAATTTTAAGGGGAATCTTACCGAGAATACATCATCAGTCATCACATGATAAAGTTAAAAGGAGTGCAAATTTGTAAGTTGCTAAAAAGTCTTCACATCTCACAAAAACGGAATACTAAACAAAACGAAAAGTATCTTCGTACACAACATAAAACCAGAATTGTCCACCAATTCAAATATCTCTAGTAGCAGAATCGAGATTCACTCCCCTCGAAGCAAAATCCTGTCACATGAGAGGAACCTAGGCATCATCAACACTTCACCTGGTCAAACGAAATCAGAAATAAAGTTAACTTAGCATAAAGGAAACAAAAACTCAGAGCTTTCGTATTTAACAAGGTAAAAAAACAAAGATAAACCTAGAGAGGCTCCTGCTCCTACTTCGGCTTGGGCTCTTGCTCCGTCTCGGACTGCGACTTTTTGGGCTCTTGCTAACACGTTTCTGATGCTAAAATACGTTATTTCAAAAGAGACAAAAATATACTGCATAGATATACCAGATTGTGCTGAATGCCCACATTTCAGCCAAATGTGTGTGAATTACGAAAATTAACCAAGACAATAGCCACTCGGCAATTATTTCAATTGTTTTCTACTGTTTAGTAGGATTTTGAGTTTATATTAAAATAATTAAAGTTGGTTTGACGCAAAAGTAGGAGAAAGATAATATGAAGTGATGGTTAGTTAAAATTATGTGAGTTCATGAATAGTGAATTAAAGCTGATGTAATGTGTAAGAATGATCGAATAGTATTATTTTATTATATTAATAATATTAGGGATAGTGAGGTTGAGTTAGATTTGAGTAAAAAAAAAAAGTGATTATTTTTTGGAAAAATTTGTATCCAAGCATCTCCTCAAGGATTTGTCAGATATAGAAAGATATTTGAATGTGTTACATGTTTGATAGAGCAATTATTGATCAAAATCAAGGATTAAACTTACAGACGGTTTTGGTGATCTTGACCTTGGAGGAGATCTGCAAAATTTGCAAAATAACCGAGTTTAAAATCCACTAATGCCTCTTAACAACATTGATCCGAGAGCCTCGTTGCCATATCCACGTCAAAGTGACCGTGACCAAAATGAATAAAGAGGAAACTCAGCAACCATTTAGCAAACACATGAGACACAAGACAAATTAGATAAATATGAGACAGATCCCACTTAATCAGGCAACCTAGAATTT